CATAGTATTGAAAAATGCTTTGCAAGTTTGCATCCTGCTATTGATTTATTTAAAAAAAATTATTAATCAATTTAAATTTTTGTAAAATTTCGTAAGTTCACGAAGTTACAAAAAAATATAAATCAAGTGATTCATCATTATAATTTATAATTTGAATAGTGCATTATAAATATTTTAAACTTCTGTAAGTTTTTATGGTACGTAAGAAAATTGTAAACTTATGCAATATGTTTACGCAAATTTATGCTTTTCTTACAATGCATAAGAAAATTGTAAATTTATGTAAACATATTGCATAAATTTATACTTTTCTTACACATCGTAAGAAAAGCGTAAATTTACGTAAACATATTGCATAAATTTACAATTTTCTTATGCATCGTAAGAAAAGTGTAAATTTGCGTAATATTTTTACATAAGTTTACGATTTTCTTACCATAAAATTTATGAAAGTTTATGCTTATATATTTTTGCTGATGTAATATAACAACATATTTAATAAAAATTAAAATTTTCAAATAAAAAATAAAGTTGATATTTCACATAACATAGTGAGTCTGGTTCAAGTCAGACTCAGAACTGAGTCTAGATTAAGACTTGACTCATAAAGTCGAGTCGAACTGAACTGAACTTTTAATATTCCTACTTACAGTACAGTATGTTGAGAAGGTTTTGTCTGTGAACCTTTTAGACTAAATCGATAGAATCACCAAACTAATTTATTAAAATTAATTAACAATCATCCAAAACTCCTAGAATCTTGAGTTGGAAGGCAGAAAGAGGGTGTGAAAAGACTTGGTCTGAGTTTCAAGATCTTTTGGGTCTTGTAGTGATGTTGCTGGCCTTAAATAAGTCTCTTCTAACCTTTTAGCTTTTAATTGCTTCGATTATATAAAGAACTTTAATTATAGCACTTCTATATTTTAGATTTAGAACATTTCGGTCTTTTTGGATCATGTGCTATGTCACTGAGATAACTGCGGCAATCAGAAGTTTAATGTCCAGTTCAATCTAAGATCTACGTCACAGGTAGATAGATTGAAAATTGGATCTTCAATTTAACCGATGTCATGGGTTTCTGATGTCATGAGTAATTTTAAGTTGTTTGATCGATTAATTGTCAGCCTAATTAGTGGTAACAATGTGTTACAAGAAATATCAGGGTTTAATCAATGTATTTTTGTTATATTGAAGGGGTTCTATCTATTATTTAATATTCTTTTCTTATATTTTTGATGTTCTTGATAAAAGAAATATGGTCATGGAAACAAGAGATTTCTATGATAAGTATTTATACTAAAATGTGTTTTCAATAAAGAATACAACTTGGGATTAACACTTCTATTCAATCTTTTCTTTTACTAATCTTAGGGTTTTATCATAAGCGATAACTTTCATTTGACTTTGGGACAGCAATTGGGTCTTATTATGAACGATTTTAGGTATAAATGGGATGATTTATTAAGAAACAACTTCTACTATTAGGATTTCAAAGTTTTTAAACTCTGATGAGTTATTTTTTCTAAGGTGAGCGTAAGGCTCTTATATACAAAAATTCACAGACTAAAATGTAAGTGAATTCACTCTTTTCGCTCACTTTGCTCACTTTGCTTACTTTGCTTACTTTGCTCACTTCGCTTACTTTGCTTACATTGCTAGCTATAAAAGGAAATTCCATTCGACATAACTGAAAAAATATACAAAAATAGAAAATATAGACTAAAAAAGAAATATATGGGCAACTAAGCCTAATTTTGGGTAAGGTGACACTGATTTTTGACTGTCACAACGTACGTACGAACGTACGTACGAACGGCATTAGGATGTACAACATCAGTCTAATTACAAACTTAGTGCAAGTCATATAACGCTAATGAAAAAAGGCTGAACCGCTGAAAAAGGCCGTACAACGGCAATACAGCCATGAGAAAATAAATTATCGAAGTACATTAAAAGTTAGACTAACAACACAAAATACAGGAGCATTACATCGGATGCGAAGATTCAATATGCATTCACACCTTTGCTTCGCCATATGCACATATCCAATAAAATGCAAGGTTTTGTGTACATACGTACGAACGCCATTTAATTTGCCGTATAACCATACACTACGTGAAATTTTCAATATCACTCCGTTCCTGGTAATCAAATTGTTAAAATTTGGGGTTGAATCAATAGAAACCAAGCAAATTTTTTTTAGTAAGTTTTTTAAAATTTTAAACAAGAATAACTTAACAAAAACTTAATAAAGATTTTTTAAAATTAATTCTACAAGTTTGTAAAAATCATTTAAAAAAATTTTTATTAAATTTGGTCAAGTTTTTGTTAAGTTATTCTTGTTTAAAGTTATAAAAAAATTTTATTATAAAAAATTTGCTTGATTTCTATTGAATCACCCCCATTTGATGATCCCGAATCAACCCGACAAGCAAAACAAGAGAAAAAAGAAAAAAAAATGCGAATATTGAAGAAACTGTAGTCAAAACCCACCTTGGAACATTAACAAAAAATGCGAATATTGAAGAAACTGTAGTCAAAACCCACCTTGGAACATTAACAAAAAATGCCGGGGAGGTAATTTTACTTATAAAAACTCTCCTAACCCTACCCTAACCCACTAATGTTAATGAAAAAACGTTATGTCATGTGATCTGCCCCAAACTTGGAAAAGAAAATTGCTAAAAATTGTATCACACGTTAAATTATTTGTTTACTTCGTGCAAATTGATTCTGTACAATACTAACAATTTACAGTAATATAAAATGGCATTTTTTCAAATGTCTTCAGCAATTATTGATTGTAACATGAATTCTGGTTATTCGTTAATAACTATGCTAAAACTGCACCAAAATAGCAGTTATGCGATAAAAAAATATATTAGTATCCTAATTATTATATTATTAATATATTTAAGTTTCTGGCTCTGGCCATTTTTTGATTATTTCGAAAATTCAAATTTACAAAAACCATTTAAACCCTCTAATCGCACACTTGGCTTTGACCATATTTACGTTGTACATCTTGACTCTCGAGCGGATAGGCGTGAAAGATTAGATGAAATAGCTTCTTATCTTGGTTTAGATTTTGATTATTTGTCTGCTATTTCTAAAAACGATGAACAAATTCTCCGCAAGTATGGATCCGCAGATATGGACTCTGCTCAAAAAGCTTGTTATTTAAGCCATTATTCAATATATAAACTAATAATTGACAAAGGCTTTAATAGTGTCTTAATTTTAGAAGATGATGTGGACTTTGAAACTAACATTACTGCTATTATGACTGATATTCATCGTGATTTACCTGCTTCTTGGGAAATGTTGTATGTAGGCTATTGCTTTGAAGATATTGGTGAACAAGTCGGAATAAGTTCTTCTGTACATAGGCTATATAAATCTGTGGCTCCTATGTGTACACATGCTTATGCAATTTCATATTCAGGTGCTCGCAAACTAATAGAGCTACTTGATCCTGTGATTCCACGTGCAACAGTTGATTATTCTCTTAGTTTAGTAATCAGAGAAGGGAACGTCACTTCATTTGATGTTTACCCACCTGCTATTTCGCAATGGAAAGCGGCCGACAACCCATCCGATATTTCTACATTCGACATATTATCCTTTAGTTTACTAAATTCAACTTTACGTTTTCTTGGGCATAATGGCAATTAGTATAATATATCTTTGTTTTCACGAGTAAATATAATATATATTCTTAAAAAAATATATTAAAAAAGGAAGGTATATTTATAACACCGTGTTATATGACACCATCTCAAAAACGTATTAAGTAAACGGGATCGATATCTTAAGTAAAAATGTTCAGGACCCTCACAAGAACTGAAATCGGGGCCTTATATCTATATTATATTATATAAAAACTCCTATATATCTTAAAGCTGCACCCTAACCCTAATCTAACTCAACTCAAATTATATAGGGCGTTATAATATTTCTTAAAATATACATATATAAATAATTAATTTTGTTATATTATTTTATATACTAGACTAGTGCGATAGGTGGTGCATTCGCGTCACCAATCTTATACAAAAATTTGACAGCTATCACAGTATACTGTAATTGGAGTCAAATTAGTTGGTATCAGAATAAACATGATTTGTAAAAATATTATTACATAACATAGCTGCTAATTTAACAAACACATTGATTAAAAGTGAGTTGGTTCGTATTAAAGTTGGTTTAATTTTTACTTTAAATTTAGTAAAAAATTATGTTGCTAAACTTGTTATTCAATATACAGTTAAAGTTTACATTATCATGATTTTTATAGTTACGGTAAAAAAATTTTTGTTACAAACTTATTTGCCATTACAGTAACAATTTGTAATTTAGATTGAGTTGGTTTTTATCAAGATTTCTATGATGGGATATTGTAAAATCTATTACAGAACTTACTACTTCAGCGATCAAAGTACATGATTATGTTATTATGTATTAGAATTAGTGATTTTTACGGTAAATTCTGTTTCAAAACTACTTGTTATTCTGGTGACTGCAGATTTGATTGAAGTTGATTAGTTGGTTAACATCATCCCTCTCTTGGTTAACTGTCTCCCAAAATTAAACATGCCAATTACAATACAGCAAAGACTTCATCAATCATGTGATTAAATTTAACCAATGAAATTTAATTAAATAATCTTGGGCATATATGTGTTTGTTTAAATCTTTCCTTTCCCGGAGCCAAAATGTTGACGTTAACTAATGAATTAACTTTAAGCGTCCTTATTATAATATAGTTAAGATTGAGTTATAAGTATTAAAATTAGGTGTGATTTCTATTGCTTGAGTTACTTAAAAAAATTTAGTTATGCGATGAAGGTGGTCCGGCGGTCTAGACAATTGGTGAGTTGAAATTGAAAGATTTGCTTCAACTAGTTTGTTTGTATTATTTTACGAGTAAAAGTATTATGTGAACTATTGTTCTAAACCATATTTTAATATTTTTGATTATAATTTATTTAGATACAAGTATACTTTGCGGATTGATATTTATAATACAATAAGTGATAGTAATGGTAGTGTTAGAAATGGTCACGTACGCGTTATTTAGTAGACATTTATATGTATTTATTGCGATAAAAATAAAAAAAAAACCTTGTAAAATCCAAATTAAAGTTGTTAATATAAAACTGAATTAGTATATTGTAAATTTATAATGTCTTTAGAGTGTATTGACTAATTTTTTAAAAGTTCGCGAGTTATAAAATTTTTGTCCAGGATTATATCCGGGATATGATCGACATTTTTTCCAGGGTATCTTAACAACCAATCAAAACGAACTTCTGCTATGCTACCTCAATCCAGATATATTTTTATATCAGTTTTATCACAGTATAAATCCGGATTTAAAAACATTATGTTCACGTTATATCACATGACATAGTATATATCCAGACACAGTGTATAAAATCTATGATAGTAAGTAATTTAATTAAAATTGATAATTTGTATCACCTATTAAAATAAATCTAATAATATAGATTATTAAAGTTTATATACTGATAGCAATAGAGAATAAAAGCCTAGAGTATATAAAGAATTTGTGGCTTTTAGCTATCAAGGCTTTGTTATCTCATGGGCTAAGGAGAAACCTCAAGTACAAAAGTAAAGAAATTATTTTTTATACAGATAGTTTATAGATCCTAAACAAGTATAATAAGAGTGAGGAATATAGAATAGTGATTGGCTAGGTTTAGATCACAGAAGATGAAAAGATATGATATTTAAAGGCAGTATCAAAATAGGTAACTGGCTATTTTTCACAAGACCTGAGCTAGTAGCAATACTGTGTGTACTGTTAACAATAACTACAGGTTTATACATGCAAATAAAGACTAACAGTGCAGCTGCAATCATAGCAATAAAAAGTGCACTAAGAGAAAGAACAATACTTGATCAGATTATAGAAGTAGTTCAGTTTACATCACTTAACCTCAATTTAATAAAGGTCAAAATATATGCAAGTATAAAGTGGAATGAGATAGAGATTGCATAGCAAAAGAAGGTGTCTACTTCAATGATACATAGAAGTGGTCTAGTAGCATCTGTTCTCAGTAGAGTTTCAACATATCTTGAAAAGATAAAAATATTGAACACCAACTATAAAGTTTTATATTTAAAGTTAAAAGAAGGCTAGTTGAGAGTGAATAGTATCTTTAAAAAAGTTATAAGCTCTTGCAAAAGATAGAATATAAAAGCAACCCATTCTGAGCTTTATGCTAAAAAAGATTAACAGAGCTCAGAGGCCAGAGTTATAGATTATTGGCTAGTAGTAATAAGCTTGTCAAATGAATTAAAGATCTATTCCAAGTACTTCTGATATTAGATAAGCTATATCAATACAGTCCATATGTATATATTTCAGCTAATTGTATCATATATAAAGAAGACAAAGTAGAAGATCTGAATCATCTCTTTAGCTATAAAGCTTACAATGATATATAGATAAAGAAGTCTTAGCAATGGCATAAGCTATACTTGAGAAGGAAACAAGATTTGAATATGTTTTAAAAGATCTTAGAGATGTAGTATAAAACAACTCACTAGAAGCAAGATTAGGAAAGAGGAAGATGCTTATACAGAGTTTGGTATGCCAAGCAGATTTTATGAAGCTCTAAGAAATAAACAAGAAGTCTGTATCAGGCCAGCAATACTATGAAGTGCTTTTTTATATTATACAGGAATGTTTCTGCAAAGTAATTTGGTGAGAAAGATGTAGAAAGATTACAGCTTGGGAAAAAGATAATAGTAAAGCAGAGTATTGAAAAAAGGGAAGAGATTTAAAGATACTCCAGAAGAGAACACATGAGTAGAAAACCCTGGGGTATAAAAATTGCTAGTGGTGAATATACAAATTAAAAACCAATCAGCAGAAAGCTATCTAAATAAAAGAAGAAAGCTTGCTAAGAAAACAAGTATAAAAGAGAAAAGAGAAGATCATGTTTAGTAAACTTTAAAGAAAAAATAACAAAAATTTATAATTTAGTAAAAGAAATGATTTGGGTATAAATTTCAAATTTTTTTTCACCTAGCTGGTAGTTAGTATTTCTAATGAACCAGAGTTCAAAGTTTATAAACATGTTCAAAGTTACAAAAAAAGATAAAAGCATATAATTACAAATATAAAAATACTTATATCGTATGATCTACTAGGCCAATTTTAACATTTTAATTACTATTCTGTTTCCAAAATACTCTTTTACAACTTTATTTAGACATTGAAAGAGGTTTAATTAATAAAAAAAAACTTTTCCTTAAGAAACTCCAAATTTAAACCTTTCTATCATTATAAAATTTTTGAATTACAACTTCTAATAAAGGTTGTAAAGAAGTATCTTGCAATCAAAATAGTAGTTAAAATGTTAAAATTGGCCTAGTAGATTGTAAGATATAAGTATTTTTATATTTGTGATTATATGCTTTCTTTATTTTTATTAAAAATAAAGAAAAATAAAAAAGAAAGAGATGTTCTATAGAATAGGTAGGCAAACTCCGCAAACTCAGCAATTCTGCTAAATATTTATTAATGATTACTAATTGTTAGTGGAGTTTATTTTTTATATTGCCCACCTATTCTATAGAACATCCAAAGAAAGTATATAATTGCAAAATAAAAATACTTATATCTCACGATCTACTGAACCAATTTTAACGTTTTAACTACCATTTTGATTACAAAATACTTCTCTACAACCTTAATTAGAAGTTAAAAAAGGGTTGTTTAGTAAAGAAAAATGTTTTAGTTGAAATTCAAAAAATTTAGTATGATAGAAAAGGTTTAAATTTGGAGTTTTTCAAAAAAAAGTTTTGGTTGATCTTTAGTAGAGGTGGCCACTATAGAAATATTATAAGATTATAATATATAAACATAGTATTTAAACTAATTTAAGCAAATTTGAGATTAGTTAGAGTTAGAGTAAGAGTTATAGTATAGTTTATAGTTAGCTCTAGGGTTAGGGTTAGAGTTTTTTTATATTATAATTCTATATTGGCCACCTATACTAAAGGAAATCCAAAGTTTTTTCTTTACTAAGTAAACCTCTTTTCAATATCTAAGTAAAGTTGTAGAGAAGTGTCTTGGGAACAGAATAGTAGTTAATGTGTTAAAATTGGCCCAGTAGATCATGAAATATAAGTATTTTTATATTTGCAATTATATGCTTTTTTCTTTTTTTGTAACTTTGAACATGTTTATAAACTTTGAACTCAGGCTTGTTAGAAACTCTACTGGTGGTCAAAGTAAATTTCAAATTAGAATAAAAATTTCAGTTTTTCAAAAAAGTTTTTAGATAGCTGAGTACCATACTATATTGGGCTTTTAAATGTGAGTAGTACTACATGTGAAGCGATCTACATTTCAATAGTAATCACATTACTAATTTTTTTTACAATAACATTCAATTGAAATCAGGTGATGATCATATGTTATTTATATTGTGCACTAGGCAAATTTTGTACAATCTAGGCAAATTAAATAGTAAAAACATATAAAAATCAATTTTACTATATTTGTCAAGTGATTACTACTAAAAATGAAAATTATTCAACTACCCTTAAATATTTAAATATTCTACTATTTTGATTATTTTTAATAAAATGTAGGTCTTTAATAACGGATTTCTTGCAGTATAGGTTATACTATCATT